TTCGATTGCGTTTACTAACATTAGGTTTTCTAAGAGTAGTACAACTATTATATCCCATTTCATACAATGTACTTTTTATAGTATTCTTACATATTACTTTTTCTGTAGATTCAGCAAAAGTTTTTACTATATTATTTACTGGTTCATGTCAATTTTTGGTTATAATAGTTTTAAGATGTCATTTGTCTCTTTCAGTTAACAATTTTGGCCTTCCACTTCTTGAAGCAATACTAATAGCACCTGTTTTTTTATATTTTGCTATGATGTTATGAATAGTGGTTTTTCCAAAACCCATTTTTTTGAAATGGTTCTTTCTGAGTCACCAGCTTTATAAAAACTGATAACCTTTTCATGTTCAAAGTTTATAAGTTCTCTGTTTTTAATCATTTTTGTGGAAAATGAAAATGAAAGAACGAAAAAAAGATATGTATAGCGTAAATTATTTATTGATTATTATGTGACACTAAATTTAAATTACACAAATATTTAGTAATTTATTTATTACAGATCATTTGCAAATCATAAGAGTGGTCCTAAACATTTTGGCTGGAAGTGTAAATAAAAAAAATTAGAATGTAAAATTGCAGAATAAATTATTAATAAATATAAATTTCATTATTATTATTTAAAAATATTAAAAAAATTATAAATACATTAGATATCATATTAATAATAATAATAATAAATCATTTATTAATATATACTTATAATATAACTTTTATAATACCATATTTTTTCGAAAATAAGCAACCCTAAAAATAAGTAACTCTTAAAATAAATAATATCTGAAAATAAGCAACACATTGAATATTTAATTAGTTTTGCATTAAAACTATTTATAATATAATAAGAACATTTTAAATAATAAAATAAAGCTTAAATAAACTAAAAAAAGTATTTTATTAATGAATTTTTATAAAATAATTGCTTACATCACTATCATAAAATACACATATTAATTGCAAAATTTTAACACAATTAAATATATTAATTACTTTTATCACTAATAACTTCGTAAACCAGTTCACAATGCATGTAACATATATTAAATGATCAGTGAATATGTTGGAGTCATGTTAATTTATAACATAAAAATCAAATTTTTAATTATACAGTATATTAAAAAAATTTAACTACCTAAAAATAAGTAACTTTATAACAAAATTACGTTGCTTATTTTCAGAGAAATACAGTAGTTATTAAATACTTTGATATTTTTTATTTTAATTTATTATTTATTATATAATAAAAATATGTAGTATTTTATATAAAATTATAACAAATTAAAATTTTAAAATTTTGAATTTTTATTAGTTAATTTAAAGATATATAATTTAGAAATAGTTTTAAAAATTTAAACAAAATTTTATAATTGTTAGATTAATCTTTTAATATTATAGTTAATAAATTTATATATAAGAAGTTTGCTAGGAAAACAAGTTCTAGGAACTTTTTTGACTAAAATTAAGATCTTATTACATTTTAATTAAAAATTAAAATAAAATAAAAATTAAAAATTTTGTTAAAATCCTAAAGTTTGATTTTCTTAGCAAACTTTTCATATGCTTAAGTAATGTAAAATAATTATAAATAAAGAATTTTTTTATTTTTATTTAAAAATTTGATAATAATTAATGATTTATTTTATTTAAAATATATAATATATAGTTTATTAGTAAAAATAATTTATATAATTTTTAAAAATAATTATAATGATTATAATAAAAATAAAAAATTTTTAAAGAATGAACATAATAATAATGATTTATTAAAACTTCTAAAAAATAATTTTATTATTTTTGTATTTTCTTTAATTTTTCTTGTTTTAATATTTCTTTTAGATTTGGATTTATTAATTTTATTATATAATTATAATATTAAGAAAGAATAATATTTTATTTAACAAAAAGTTTTAATAGTAAATTTTTTTTATTCTTTAAATTTTCTTAAGTTTTTTATTATTAAATCTTTAACTATATTTATAACTTTATTACTTATTTAATTTTTTAATAATATTATTCATTTTTATATATTTACTAATTTTTAATAATTATTTTTTTTATAATAATTTAACTTTGAAATATATATTCTTTTTTAAGTATAGTTGATTTCTTATATAGTCACATTCTATAAGATTAAAAAATTTAATATGATTATAAAAAGTTATATAATATGACTATAAAAAATATTTTGAATAAGTTTGTTATTAATTTTGATTTAATAAAATATAATTATAAAAAAGAAATAACTATATAAAAAGTAATTATATAGGAGTTAATTATATTTTGCTATTTATTTTTTGATTTTATTTTATATATTTCAAATATATATATATATATATATATATATATAAAACAGATTATCAGTTAAATTAAAAATGAATTTATAAATTCAAAAAATATTTAATTATAATAATTAAGACCAATATAAAATTATTATAATATCAATCTATAAATTATAAAATTATAATTAATATAATTATATTTAGATAATATAAATTTGCTTTTAATTTGATTATTTAGTTTATATACTTATAAATTTTATATAGTTATTTTCTTTTTAAATATTTAACTAATAATTTAATATATTTTTATCTTAAAAAATAAAATTAATAAATTTTTATTAAAGTTTTTAAGTATTACAATTTAATTATTGAGTTTATATTTAATATTATACAATGAAAAAAATAAATAAATAACAATAGATTATTTAATTAAATAGTTAAAAGTAAGAGTATTATCTAATATTATAAAATTATTATTTATAAAAATATTATTTGCAAATATAAATAATTTCAAAATTTTAATAAATTGAAAATAACATTTTGTAAATCAAATGCTAAATTTTTATATAATGAATTAAAACTATTATATATTATCTTTAAACCAATAGTCTTATAAAAAGATTTAATAGAATAATATATAAATTCTTAATAAAATTTGCTGATAAAATAAAGATGATTAAGATAATAAATTATGAATATTATTAAATAAATTTTCTTTTTTATTAATATTTTATTATAAATTTAATGGTAAAATTTAAAAATTTATTTTTATTTATATCATATATAATAATTAAATTTAAAATTTACATATTATAATAATAAAGTATTTTAACTTTTTTTTATAATTTATTATAGTTTAATTACTTACGAAATATTAAGTAATTCTAATTGATTTTAAACATTTTTAAAATTTTTAATTATATAAAAGACTAATCACTTAATAATAATAATATTATCAAAATTTGCTATAAATAAATTTTATTAATAGTTTTTTTTTTTAAAAAAAAAAAAAAAAAAAAAAAAAAAAATTTTAATAAATAAAATTAATAAATTAATAGTTAAATTTAAAGATCTTTGGACAAATTTTACTATATTTAAGGTTTCGGGATTTTTTTTATACACAATTTGGATTTCCTTTTTATTTTATTTTTTTTATGCCGAAAGGTATAATTTTATAAATGTAGATATCAAATAAAGAACTTATTGATAAACTTTATTTTTGGATACAAAGCAAACATTCGGCGCATCTACATCCATTATTAATCTTTCTTTTTTACTATCTCTCTAACTTACATTTTAAAGGGGCAAATTTCTGTCTCTTTGTATATATTCTAATTATAAATTTATTATTTTTATTAAGATTCGTTAAAATTAAAAAAAAATTCATTTTACTCACATCTCTCAGATAAATATTTGCTAAAGAATTTATTATTGGAAAGAATTATTAAAGTTTAAAGTTTGCTTTTGAATTTATTCTTAAATGCGACGATGTAGATTTTTGAAATGGGTTCTCTTATGAAAAAATATTCTTCAAAACCTTGTAATTCACAGATGCTATCGTTGCCTTTCTAGAGTTTGTCTTATAGTTCAAAGACTTTATTGGTCACGCTTTTTTTTTTTATTAACAAATTTCACAACTTTATTTATTAATATTAGCCTTCAAGCTATTAAAGAAAGAAAAGAATTCTGAATAGTCGTCAAAGTAAATTTAGAAGAAATATATCTTGATTAGGTTGCAGCTAGTAGCTCAACTAAAAGGTGGCTGCTAAATATATAAAGCTTCAATTAGCTTCTACAATCAAAAAAGCCATTGAAAGAAATGATGATTTTTAAATTTTTTTTTTTATTATAATTAGAGTTATAAATTAATTTTGTCTTTTTTAAAAAAATTTGTTTTCGTTTATTTAATACCTTTTCATTTTAAATGTTTATTAGTAATAAGATACTGTATATACTGTATACAGGGACGCGTAAAATTTTCGAAAATAATTTTTTAAAATAAATCGAAAAATTTTGCTTAAATCGAAATTTTTTTTATGATATTTCACGTGGAAAGAATACTATTGGCTAAATAAACCAAATCGAAAAAAAATATAATTGGCTATTGATTATAAAAAAAGATCTTATCTATCATTTTTTTAAATTTCTTCGTTGCAAATATGTCGTCTAGTGTAGAACGTAGTTTTTCTGTTTATAATAATATTTTGAATGAAGATAGAGAAAATCTGAGTCAAGATTTGTATTTCAATCGCAAATAATAAAATATTATTATATTAGTTTGAACATTTAATAAATTCTTTTTAATTTTGGCTAAATTATAGCATTATGAGTTAATTTTGGCTAAAATTATATAAATCGAAATAAATCGAAATTTTTAAACAAATCGAAAATAATTTTTATGAAATCGAAAGAATTTTTACGGGTCCCTGACTGTATATAGATAGCCAAGTAAAAAAAAAATGAAAAACAAGTGACATCATTTGATCAATGTTACTAACTCGGATAAACAATAACAATAAGCCAAATGTAACGCAAACCTTAATTTTCATATATTATTTAGTTCTCGGAAATGATGATTGTCCCTTTTTTGGTTGCATTTTCTGTTCCAAATCCATTGGAAAAAATATAAAAAAAAATAAACTTACGAAATCTATTATTCCTAGGTTCATAGTCTTTTTTTTTTTAATGAAAAAAGATAAATAAAAAATCATTGTTTATGGAGAAAAGAGAGCAAGCAAATGTCGATAGTAAGATACCAGGACGTCATTTTCACCTTCCATTCGAATTCAATGATACAAATAGACTTGGACCATGGGAAATTCTGCTCAGCGAAAGCACGATTAAAGACATACGGGAAATGCTGTATAACGAAGACTTTAATGATATGCAAATAGGGTTACCTCTCAAGATTGAAATAGTCATGAAAAAACTTAGGCAAATATCATCCGGGGCATGGAAAAAGTTTGGCCTCCAACGTGAGGCTTCATCTCACAATATTCCTGTCTACGAAGTGGAGCTCCCTACAAACAACTTGAAAATTCTCTGGCAAGTTGACTATGGATTCTCTATCCATATAGATTCGTTCACGCAACACGTAAAGGTCTGGGCTGTCACCGCAAGCCAAAAACAGATTAACAAAACTTTAAAAGCCCTTAAAAGTGTTCATGAAGTCTACACTTCCGAACATATTCGTCGGTGCGCAATACAAGTGATGAGAAAAGACAATGTCGTTTTACCGGAATGTTTTGTAGATGGGGGAACGAGGTTCAAAGAAGAATTGGATGATGAGAAATTATTAGAAGCTCATAAAATGTTTGTTACAAACAAATTTATTCCTATATCAAGGGTAAATAAAAAAAGATCAACGATACATATTCGACGAATAAGTTTCCTAAAATAAATAATTTTTCTCGCAGGATTTGTTCAAGTCGCTCGCTTTTCTAGTATCCAAGACTGAATACGAGATAATTAACGATCCTTCGTCGGCGGTCGTTTTTGGTCGATCAGGTCAGTAATTTAGTTCAGCCATATTTATTAGAGATAAAATCTGACTTTGTTAATTGTATCTCAAAATATCCAATATTTAGGGACCGGCAAGACTACATGTATCGTATTTAGACTGCTCATTTCATATTTAAAAAGCCAACTTTACAAGACACCATCTTTGCATATCGATAACGAGAATTTTTATAAAAGACAAATATTTATTACGTTGAATCCCATTCTATGCTTGCGAGTCAAGAAATATTTCAAACAATTGCAAAAATCGGCGGAACTTGCTGGAGAGACGATTTCGAAAGCTCAGTTTATTGCGTGGAAGAAAGAATGCGGTAGTAGCAAGACATTTGATGACAATAACATGCATGAGGAGGACGATGTGAAAAAAATTCTTGGTGAAATACCGAACTCGTTCCGTCTACTGACGGACCAGCATTTTCCATTATTCATTACTTATGAAAAGTTTTCAGAAATGCTTCTGGGGACTTACGGTATTGACGCTCGAATGTTGACCACGAAGCAAAAACAAAAGCATAATGCTGATAATGACAATGCATATAATGAGGAGGAATACCGCTTTTGGTCTCCCTTTGCAAACGCTTCGTGGGCTACCTTTGTTGACTACGATTTATTCGAAAAAAAGTATTGGCGTAATTTCGGTCATCATTATAGTAATAATCTGGATTGCGAGCTGGTCTACTCTGAGTTTTCTATTATCAAGGTATGCAACTATAAATGAGCCCTACTCCTATAAAATTTTTGATTTTGACATAAGAAGTTTTTCAAAAATTAATCCGAAGGGCACGAATACTGAGGTAGACTACCTATCAAGGGAAGAATACCGTTCTCTTAGTACCAAGAAATACCCAGCATTTTGTCACAATCGTGATACGATTTATAATATATTTGAGCGATATGAAAAGATGAAGGCGCGGAATTATGATTTTGATTCAGTGGATCGGTAATGACTGGGTATTTTTTTTTTTATTTTTGGATAGAACTTGATTGATGTCAATTTCTTTATTGTAGAACTTTAGCTATATTACGTGCAACCGAAACGAAAGTGTTCGGTGGCCCGCACATTCATGAAGTATACATTGATGAATGTCAGGATAACCGGATCATAGATTACGAGCTTATCTTGAAACTCTTTGGCCACGCTGAAAGTATTTTTCTGGCAGGAGATGTAGCGCAATGCATTGCCCAAGGGTCTACTTTTCGATTCAAAGGTTTGCGTTTATTATTGTCCTTCAAGAATAAATAATTACGTCTTCTTTCCCAATCTTTAAAAAAATTTTTTTTTATTAAAATAGACTTATATCAATTGATTTACGAGCGTGCCAATTATTTAAACCAAAAATGTTCGAATTAAACATTAATTACCGCTCTCACAAAGGGATTCTTCAACTAGCTTCGTCAATAATTCATCTCCTCCGGGTATTCTTTCCTGATTCTATCGACCAGCTGTCACCTGAAATCAGTGAGGTTGGTGGTCCACAACCTATCATCATCGAGGGTTGTGAGGCTGAAACCCTGTTTATTTATAGAAAGGATGACAAAAAGGAAGATGTATTTATTGAATTTGGAGCTGACCAGGTCATTATCGTACGTGATGAATCTTCTAAAAAGCGTGTGAAAGATATATACAGTGATATTGGATTGGTTTTGACTGTCTTCGAGGCCAAAGGTATGGAATTCAATGATGTGCTATTGTATAATTTCTTTACCGATTCTCCCGCACATTTAAAGGTAAAATATTATGGCATTTGATTTAAACACATTATAGTCATTTATTAAAAGCTATTCTGATTTTTAACGTAATATTTAGTGGCAAGTGATTCTCTCCGATTTGGATGACAATTCAGAATGGATTCGGAAATTCTCTTCCGAGAAGCATTATATTCTTTCCTCGGAACTCAAACATCTCTATGTTGCCATAACCAGAGCCAGAGAGCATCTCTGGATTTTTGATGAGGATGCTAAGTTGAGTGAATCAATCCGTACGTACTGGGTACGCAAAAAGCTAGTGAAAGTAACGAATGGAATCGACGTCTCGAAATTGACTAAGACAAGTAGCTCGTATGAGTGGAATCGTGAGGGAAGAATGTTTTTTGAGCAACGGAATTATGAACAGGTAAACTCTTAAAAAACCTTTCAATGCAATGCAATAATGAGCTGAGTTACTAAATGAGACAGAATCACTTTTAGGCTATATTCTGTTTTAAAAAAAGTAGAAATGAGGAAGGCGAAAATTTAGCCCATGCGTATTATCTTCAACAAGTTGCCAGGACTTCCGTCGTAACCGGTTCTGATGAAAAAACAGTGAATAACAATTTTAAATCTGCCGCTCGAGCCTTTGAAGAATGTTCCCGGAAGCCACAGGCAGCTTCATGTTATGAGGTATAACTTTTGTTTTTCATAACTTTCATGAATGGTCCTATATTTTTTTGTCCATTTTGCATTTGAAGCTTTCATGGTAATATTTACAAATTTTATGAAACTTTCAGAGCATAAGAATGTATAAAAAAGCTGGTAATTTATATTCTGAATCAGAAATGTTTGAGGATGCCGCACGTTGCTATCTAGCGGTCAATATGTGGGACGTAGCAGGTGGGTATTTTGAAAAGGCGAATAAATACGATGAAGCAGCCATTGCCTACAAAGATGGCAATCATTACGATATGGTAGCTGATTTGATTCAAAGGTAAGCTTAATAAACTAAATAAATTCTGAAATTTACCGTAAAAAATCAGGTAATTCATAAAAACTAAAACCAAATTATTAAATAAGGCACAGACTAGACATCAACGATAAAACGATCTGTCAACTCACTAACCACTTTCACAAAGAAGCCGAAAATCATCTTTCGCAAAATAAGTTTGAAGAGACAGCCGATATGCTTCAATACATATTACGTCTATGCAGAATTATTGTGCTTGAAGAGATAATTGCAAATTTCACAAGCTCTAGTATCATGCAAGAATTATGTAAACTACAAACCAAAGCGGCTAAGACTATTTCAAAATTTCAATCTGAACGATCGAAAAGTCTGGTGGAAGAATCGCGGTTATATATTTCTTATTTTAATAAGGATCTCAATGTTTATGATGTGGTAACTGATTTGATTCAAATGTAAGTTTCATTCAATCTGATATTCTGTAAAAAAATTTCAGCCAACTCATACATATAAATTAAATCTAAACTACTAAATAAGGCACAGACAAGAAATCAATGATGAAATGATCTGTCAACTCAGTACCCACTTTCACAAAAAAGCCGAAAACCTTCTTTCATATAATAAGTTCGAAGAGACAGCTGATATGCTTCAATACCTATTACGCCTATGTAGAATTATTGTACTGGAAGAGATAAATACAGGTTTCACAAGCTATAGTATCCTGCAAGAATTATGTAAGCTCCAAATCGAAGCGTTCAAGACTATGTCAAAAGTTCAATCTAAACGTTCGAAGATTCTGATGGAAGAATCAAAGTTATACATTGCTTATTTAAATAATGATCTCAATATTTATTATGTGGTAACTGATTTGATTCAGAGGTATGTTGTAAATTCCCGTAAAATCTTCAATTAGTAAAAAAATAAAAAAAAAATTGCATAACGCTGACCAAACTATTGAATTAGACACCGACAAGATATCAACGATGAAACGATCCGTCAATTCAGTATCCACTTTTATAACACAGCAAAAGAACATCTTTCGCATAAGATGTTCGATGAGGCAGCCGACATGCTTTATTACCTATTACGCATATGCAGAGTTATTGTATTGGAAGAGGTAATTACAGGGTTCACAAGCTCAAATATCCTGCAGGAATTATGTAAACTCCAAATCAAAGCGGCCAAGATTATTTCAAGAGTTCCATCTGATCGGTCGAAGAATCTGATGGAAGGGTCTCAATTATATATTTCTTATTTAAATAAGGATCTAAATATTTATGACATAATAACTGTTTTGATTCAGAGGTAAGCGTATATTTCCGTAATATCTTCAATTTGTTAAAAAAAAAAAAAAAAAGAATAATTCTTGGCTAACCTATTAAAAAAGGCACCGACAAGTTATCAACGACGAAACTATCCGTCAACTCAATAACCACTTTCGCAAAAAAGCTGAAAAGCTTCTTTCGCAAAATAAGTTCGAGGAGGCTGCCGACATGCTTAATCGTTCGGTTGATAATGACGATAATATATTACTTGCGTCTCAGCATCTATTACGCCTTTGCAGAGACAATGTACTTAAAGAGATTATTGCAGGCTCTAGTACCCAGCAGGAATTAAGTAGACTTCAATTCAAAGCGGCCAAGGCTATCTTAAAAGTTAAAATTCAATCTGACCGATCGAATAATCTAATGGAAGAGTCTCAGTTATATATTTCTTATTTAAATAAGGATCTCAATATTTATGATATAGTAACTGATTTGATTCAGAGGTAAGTGTAAAATCTTCAATTAGTAAAAAAAAAAATAAAATAAATAAAGCATAACTCTTGCCTATAATTATTAAAAAGGCACAGACAAGACATCAACGATGAAACTATCCGTCAACTCAATAACCACTTTCGCAAAGAAGCAGAAAAGCTTCTTTTGCTTAATAAGTTCGAAGAAGCTGCAGACATGCTTAACCATTCTGTAGATAATGACGATAATGTAACTGATGCGTCTCAGTGCCTATTGCGCCTATGCAGAGTTATTGTATTAGAAGACATAACTACAGATTTCACAAGTTCATGTACCCTGCAGGAATTATGTAGGCTCCAATCCAAAGCGGCCAAGGCTATCTCAAAAATTACAATTCAATCTAAACGATCGAAGAATCTGATGGAAGAGTCTCTGTTATATATTTCTTATTTAAATGAGGATCTCAATATATATGATCTGATGATTGATTTGATTCTGAGGTAAGCTGTAAATTTCTCGTAAAAATCTTCAGTAAATTCAATAAAAAAAAAAAAAAAAAAAAAAAATTGCATAACGCTGACCAAATTATTGAATTAGACACCGACAAGATATCAACGATGAAACGATTCGTCAGCTTAGTATCCACATTCAAAAAGAAGCAGAAAAACTTCATTCGCATAACAAGTTCGAAGAGGCTGCCGATATTCTTCAGTATCTATTACACCTATGCAGAATTATTGTACTGGAAGAGATAAATGCAGGTTTCATAGGCTCAAGTATCCTGCATGAATTATGTAAACTCCAAACTGAAACGTTTAAGACTTTCTCTAAAGATCAATCTAAACGTTCAAAGGTTCTGATGGAAGAATCACAGTTATATATTTCTTATTTAAATAATGATCTCAATATTTATGATATAATAACTGATTTGATTCAGAGGTAAGCTTAAAGCAACCTAATTTATCCTATGAATTTTCCGTAAAAATCTTCAGCCAATTGATACAAAATAAATCTAACTATTAAACAAGGTACAGACAAGACATCAATGATGAAGTGATCTGTCAACTCAGTACCCACTTTCACAATGAAGCAGAAAAACATCTTATGCACAATAAGTTCGAAGAGGCAGCCGATATGCTTCAGTATTTATTGCGCCTATGTAGAGTTATTATCATGGAAGAGATAATTACAGGTTTCGCAAGCTCAAGTATTCTGCATGAATTTTATATGCTTCAAACCGAGGCATTAAAGACTATCTCAAAAGTTCAATCTGAACGATCGAAAAGTCTGATGGAAGAATCGCGGTTATATATTTCTTATTTTAATAAGGATCTCAATATTTATGATATGGTAACTGAATTGATTCAGAGGTAAGTTGTAATTTCCCAGTCAATTCATAAAAATAAGGAAAGCGTAACTCATTCTAAACAAACTATTAATAAGGCACAGACTAGACATCAACGATAAAACGACCTTTCAACTCAGTATCCACTTTCACAAAAAAGCCGAAAACCTTCTTTCATATAATAAGTTCGAAGAGGCAGCCGATATGCTTCAGCACCTATTACGCCTATGCAGAATTATTTTACTGGAAGAGATAATTACAGATTTCACTAGCCCAAGTATCCTGCAGGAATTATGTAAGCTCCAAATCGAAACGGCAAAGACTATTTCAAGAGTTCAATCTAAACGATCGAAGAATCTGATGGAAGAGTCTCTGTTATATATTTCTTATTTAAATAAGGATCTCAATATTTATGATATGGTAACTTATTTGATTCATAGGTAAGTGTAAATTCCCGTAAAATCCTCAATTAGTAAAAAAAAAAAAAAAAAGCATAACTCTTGCCTAAACTATTAAAAAGACACAGACAAGACATCAACGATGAAACTATCCGTCAACTCAATAACCACTTTCGCAAAGAAGCTGAAAAACTTCTTTCGCAAAATAAGTTCGAGGAGGCTGCCGACATGCTTAACCGTTCGGTTGATAATGACGAAAATATAATTAATGCGTCTCAGTACCTATTAAGCCTTTGCAGAATTAATGTGCTGAAAGAGTTGATTACAGATTTCACAAGCTCAAGTGCCCGGCAGGAATTAAGTAGGTTCCAATCCAAAGCGGCAGAGACTATCTCAAAAGTTCAATCTTCGCGATCAAAGATTCTGATGGAAGAGTCTCTGTTATATATTTCTTATTTAAATAAGGATCTAAATCAAGTTCACGAGTGCAGAAAATTTTTCATGAAGCATGAAGAGTTTTTCACTGAGTTTCTTGCGGTTATATTATGGCTGCAAATCCCCTCACCATCTGAATTTAATATCAAGTATTGGGATGAGCGGTTACAGTGTTTGTTAAGACTGTGTAAATTGGCCTTTCCTTATATATCCCCACAAAAAAATGTCGACATTGCAAAAATCTCGAAAGGATTCGAGAATATTTTTTTATGTTTTGGGAACAAAACAAAAATCCCTCAGAAGTTGAATATTTTTTCTTACGACCCTCTTTATGTCCTTTTGGACATCAAGATTATAAATAAAGAAAATGAAGAAGCAATTCTAGACAGTTGGAAGGTTTTTGACGTGGATGTTGTGCATCAGACAATTTCACAGTTCCTCATCTCATATATCTACAAGCTTATTTCGAAAATCGATCAGGATGGTAGAGCTAAACCGAATATAGCTTCAATAATCTGCTTTAATTATGCTTCATCGAGTATTTCAAATTACCGAATGCATTACGTAACTTCGACATCATTACTTCTGTTCCAGCGTCTAAAACTTGCAAGACTTCAATACACTGTGGTGCGACAGTTGAATGTATTATTTCGTCATGGACTTCTTAATGTAGAAAGAAAAGCATTCCTTGCTTCACAAAAATGGTGGGCTAAAAATCTGGTTAAATGTCATATGCGCTATCAATCACCGCATACAAGATGCCCAGAAGTTACTTCCATGGCTCTTGCCAAACTTCCTATTCGCATTCGTGATGACCTTATAAATGAAGCTTACAAGACATGGTTAGCTAAGAAGTCCAAGAATGAGGTTATGGTCAAATGTATGTTTGTTATACGGCGGCTGCGGGAAATAAGCGTTATTGACGAGTTTTATCAGGAGATATCGAAATCGAAAATATTTTCACACCCTAACAACCTTCCCGGAAATTATAAAGTGGTTCCAGTTGGGAGACATATCGCGCAATTTTTCTTATTTCTTTATTATACTAATAAAGTGATTCCCGCAATCATAAGATCAAGAGCTTTTATTAATTATGCCATAAAAAATATTAACAAGTTAATCTGGCTTCATCCAATGCTTTTGGAGATCTTACTTCTCTCATGGGATTTGAAACCTCTTTGATTTTCACAGTTGGTCAAGTATATTGCGCATTTACCGCGTATCCTTCATTCTTGATCGATATACTACAGCATAAAGAACTTCAATAATTCCATCAATCAATTTTACCACTGTTGCTTTGGAAGAAACAGGTTTACAAATATCCTTCGACTTATAAATAAATCTAGTTTTCTTTAACCTTTTAAATACGCTTATAGTAAAAATAAATCTTTTCTCTAGAAGAAAACGACTTTGTAAGGCTTGTAGTTCACCACAAAAGTATATACATATCAAAATTCCTTATTTCGTAAATATCCTTACAGACAAACTCTATTGAAGAAATCTAGAACAACATCTTGGTCATTTTTTTTATTTGATTTTAATCAATATTTTATGTAACAAAAAAGACGAATTTTCCTGATGATTTTATTATTAAATTATTTATTTATGGAAGAAAAAGGTTAGCATCTATTTTTATATTCAGATAGACCAATCGTCAGTTATGAATGTATTGAAAAGACATAAATAAATTATTATTTGATCAAAAAGAATAAGATACACTCCCCTGAAGAAAGTATCCGGGCACGGCTTTTTGCGAATTGTAGCTTAATTATATTATGTTTTTAAATAAA